TAGGTTTTAAATATTTCTTTCGATCAATTTTGGTTTCCTTCGATGGTCTAGGTTTAAACAAAAGCAGACCATTAGTATGACTGATGAGTCATAGAAGGACGAAACAGTTGTATGATGCAGCATGACTGACCAGTCCTAGAAGGACGAAACAGCTGTATGATTTAGCAACACTGACTAGTCCAAGGAGGATGACACAGATGTATGATGTAGCATCATTGATGGGTTCTAGAAGGACGAAACAACTGTATGATGCATCATCACCGACGAGTCCTAGAAGGACGAAACAGCTGTATGATGCATCATCACCGACGAGTCCTAGAAGGACGAAACAGCTGTATGATGCATCATCACCGACGAGTCCTAGAAAGGACGAAACAGCTGTATGATGCATCATCACCGACGAGTCCTAGAAAGGACGAAACAGCTGTATGATGCATCATCACCGACGAGTCCTAGAAAGGACGAAACAGCTGTATGATGCATCATCACCGACAAGTCCTAGAAGGACGAAACAACTGTATGATGCATCATCACCGACGAGTCCTAGAAAGGACGAAACAGCTGTATGATGCATCATCACCGACGAGTCCTAGAAGGACGAAACAGCTGTATGATGCATCATCACCGACGAGTCCTAGAAGGACGAAACAGCTGTATGATGCATCATCACTGACGAGTCCTAGAAGGACGAAACAGCTGTATGATGCATCATCACTGACGAGTCCGAGAAGGACGAAACAGCTGTATGATGCATCATCACTGACGAGTCCGAGAAGGACGAAACAGCTGTATGATGCATCATCACCGACGAGTCCTAGAAAGGACGAAACAGCTGTATGATGCATCATCACCGACGAGTCCGAGAAGGACGAAACAGCTGTATGATGCATCATCACCGACGAGTCCTAGAAAGGACGAAACAGCTGTATGATGCATCATCACCGACGAGTCCGAGAAGGACGAAACAGCTGTATGATGCATCATCACCGACGAGTCCTAGAAAGGACGAAACAGCTGTATGATGCATCATCACCGACGAGTCCTAGAAGGACGAAACAGCTGTATGATGCATCATCACCGACGAGTCCTAGAAGGACGAAACAGCTGTATGATGCATCATCACCGACGAGTCCTAGAAAGGACGAAACAGCTGTATGATGCATCATCACTGACGAGTCCTAGAAGGACGAAACAGCTGTATGATGCATCATCACCGACGAGTCCTAGAAGGACGAAACAGCTGTATGATGCATCATCACCGACGAGTCCTAGAGGACGAAACAGCTGTATGATGCAACATCACTGACGAGTCCTAGAGGACGAAACAGCTGTATGATGTAGCATCACTGACGAGTCCTAGAGGACGAAACAGCTGTATGATGCAACATCACTGACGAGTCCTAGAGGACGAAACAGCTGTATGATGCAGCATCACTGACGAGTCGAGTCATCACCGACGAGTCCTAGACGGACGAAACAGCGTATGATGCATCATCACCGACGAGTCCTAGAAGGACGAAACAGCTGTATGATGCATCATCACCGACGAGTCCTAGAAGGACGAAACAGCTGTATGATGCATCATCACTGACGAGTCCTAGAAAGGACGAAACAGCTGTATGATGCATCATCACCGACGAGTCCTAGAAGGACGAAACAGCTGTATGATGCATCATCACCGACGAGTCCTAGAAGGACGAAACAGCTGTATGATGCATCATCACCGACGAGTCCTAGAAGGACGAAACAGCTGTATGATGCATCATCACCGACGAGTCCTAGAAGGACGAAACAGCTGTATGATGCATCATCACCGACGAGTCCTAGAAGGACGAAACAGCTGTATGATGCATCATCACCGACGAGTCCTAGAAAGGACGAAACAGCTGTATGATGCATCATCACCGACGAGTCCTAGAAGGACGAAACAGCTGTATGATGCATCATCACCGACGAGTCCTAGAAAGGACGAAACAGCTGTATGATGCATCATCACTGACGAGTCCTAGAAAGGACGAAACAGCTGTATGATGCATCATCACCGACGAGTCCTAGAAAGGACGAAACAGCTGTATGATGCATCATCACCGACGAGTCCTAGAAGGACGAAACAGCTGTATGATGCATCATCACCGACGAGTCCTAGAAGGACGAAACAGCTGTATGATGCATCATCACCGACGAGTCCTAGAAGGACGAAACAGCTGTATGATGCATCATCACCGACGAGTCCTAGAAAGGACGAAACAGCTGTATGATGCAGTTTTACTCATTATTTTGTTCTACGTTATCGTATTCCGTATTGAAATGTGCTATTCACTTTTGTGTCTTTTGTACAATCAATGATTTTCCCTCTATAGACTAAATTTTGGTTTTTGTCCACAAGCCACATTTATTTTATTTTCTTCTTGCCTTCCTAATACCATGTAACGTCCAGTTACAAAATTGCAATATCGATACTACATAGTATGTGGTATATTTGCTTTTCTGTCAAATTCGCAAATCGGAGCAATTTAAAGCCCGAGAATGTGATACTACATTTTTAAGATGGTCACATATCTTCTGATTTTAATTTTCAGAGAAGTGTTTTAAGGATTTAAAATAAATAAATACATGTCTGTGTGACACTACAGTTTGGTCTTATTCTTCTTGTACTTTGTCAGGAGTCTGCATGTAACTAGTTCATTTGGTCATACTTTGCCCTAGTTTCATTAAATTTATGTTGGAATTAAGTTTATGTCGAAATATTGGCATTTTTATTTTTTTGTTTTTAGAAATTCTGTATTGTTTTATAAATTTCATTGTATCATATTACAAATACATGCGATATTTTAAACATTTGAATGCTTCTTCCTCTGAATAACAATGACGATATGAGGAACTTTACTTGTCTTACGGCGAATATTAATTGTACAATTGATGTTGTATTCTATAAACAGGTTTTATTATCGATTTACCATTTTTATTTGTGTACTTTTACATTTCTATCGATTTACATTTGTATAAGAATTATACTCCAACATCCCTTTGTCGCTCTAAAAAGTTACTTATTTAACGTTTTCCTAACGTTTACATGTTTACAACATATAAACCTATATTTGGCCACCCGTAGCATCATATATATGACGCAGTCTTTTCCAAGGCTTTGTTTTGTACAGTATATAGCTAATTACTAGCATCACGATTAGAAGCACGTGCATATCACTTCCGTATACTACATTGTACGTAACACATGAATACACACACTGACAAATAGTCATCTAATATGATCTTATATCTACAACGAACATAATCTTATCGTAATATAGGCGACTTATTCTTCTTATATACAAGATATATAAAATACGACAAGTACATCTGCCTATATACAATACAGCTGCTCACATGGGACACGACAAGTGGACTTAGCAGAGTCTATGGTCACACGCTGCTTATATATCCTACCATCAAGTATATAATATATATTATATATATGTATGTATGCTAGGCCATGTATTTTGCATATTCTTTACGATAATGGTACTTGATACTTATAATGATTTTTTTGTGACAATATTTTAATATGTAAGTATATATGCAAAATAATTGGCCTTAGAATGAAAGACTAACGCATCCTCTATTAAATACCCCGATACATGAATATGAACAATTTTTCATTAATACTATGTTAAGTTGTATTGAAACTTACGACATCATCATTCAAATGACAGACGATGATATCTATTAGGTGTTTTTTTTCTAGGAATCCTTTTGAGATTGGGTTTAATTTTTTTATACATATATCTTCAGTTTATAAAACGATGTGATATATATACATTCGACAAATCAATTGAACCAGAAAACGTCAAAATTTCAGTTTTTAAATAAAGGGAAATATATTTTTAACGCTATCAGACCTGGTATGTAAAATACCTAATTCAGTAAACGTGTTACTTTTTTTTGTGAAATAACTTTGTATAATACTACTAAATACCATAGAAGATTTCGCATTCGTTGTCAATAACTAAAACTAAATTTGGCACATACTGAAAATGATATGTACAAACGCATAAAGTACAAATTAACAGAAATTGTATTTACATTTCTTTTTCAAAACAATTTACCGTTATAAAATAGAAATAGAACATAAGTAAGGTAGTGAATGCAATCAACAAATACTGTTGACTTATATATATAGTCAGCGTATTCATATAACACAAGTTTGCTACTTTACGTAAGTTCGAAGGAGAATACGACTGCTATCACACATGCTTTTACTAGTATTGAGGAAATTGAGTATTTCATTGGAATGCTTAACCTTGACAGTGAACCAATATTATCATTTATGATTATTTGGTTATGATAGAAATTGGTCACTAAACCTCATGATTGGATTTTAAAAATAAATTTTCAGTTGCTCACGACTTGTTTGCAAAATTAAACCGTAATGTGAAAATAAAGAATATGCTTTATCAAATAATCTTATATCAATTCCACTGCTTTTAATATAAAATGGTCTTACTAATTGCAATTTTTTTTTCTTTCTCTATAAAATCAAAAATAAGATTTTTTTTCTCTTTTGTTTTGCTTACAAATATTTCTGTTTTATAACATGTCATGCACACGGTGTCATTGTAATGAGTATTTACATTGCGTATATGGCGATGTCAGAACTAGCGAAACTCTGATTAAGGATGAACCTTGATTAGCTTTTTTTCCAACATCACAGCATGGACATGCGTCCCTACTACTAAAGCTAATACCTTAAACCAAGCAGACATGTTTAGGTACTGAGGCTGGGAATTTTGTACCGACTACAAGAGAAGCAGCCACCGAGTTTCCAACTCCCTGATATGTTAATGTATAATGTTGTTTCTTCTCATGACACGTTTAAACTAAATATCTCTAACGCTTGTGCGAGTTTAAACAATATGTCATTGATCAACGTCACTGAAGCATATCTGTCATACTACATAGTGCATGGGCATATAATAGTATATATTTGGCTGTCGGTGCATATGCTATAACCGCGAGGATTCCGGCTTGGTGCTGTCTACCTTGACAGTAGGAACGCTTTGTTTACTAGGCTCATTCGCCTTGGTCGTCGGATCAAGTTCTGTAGGACGAGTTGGGGATTTTTCAGAAATCACTGGCTCCTTTGGTTGTGCCATACAAGACGTTTTTGGGAGTTTTTCTGTTGATTCCTCTCCGTCGCCCATACTTCTTCGATGAAACGCCATTTCTTCCTTAGTTTTTTGTTTTTGTTCTTTTGTTTCCTTGGGGTCAGGTATTTTCAGAAATTTCATCGCGCCTTTGCCATCTGATGGCGGCGAATCATCTGTTGACTTTCGTTTGTCTCTAGGTTTCTTAATTTTGTGTTTTTGTTCTGATGGTTTGAACAATTTTGTACCCAGGAAACTGGACCTCCTATTGCCCTCTTTTAAGTCTTCAGGATCTGAGTCTCTGCGCGATTCATCTGAACAAGAGGACTGTTGCATTCTATTTAAATCAGCACCAACACTACCTGAACGCCGCCTTTCGGGAAAATGAGGAACTTTAAGTCCAAACAAATTCGGACCAGAGGGCGCCTTCTTCATTCTACTGACTTTCCCGTTAGGTATATCTAAATCTCTTAGACTCTCTTTCGATTTCGATTTTCTTTCCTCTGTGATACGATGAAGTTTCCCCGTGAAATCAAATTTAAATTTCCTCTTTTTTCTAGAGCTTTTTGAACTCTCTGAACTATCGTCTGAGTCCTTATCTTCATCTTCACTAGCACTGGTTACGACAGGAGTAGACTCCATTACAATCTCATTCACGAGTTTCTGGTCCTCCTCTAGGTCGGCTCTACTGCTTACCAAACTAGGATTTTTACCAATCTTTGTCAAGCGTTCTGCGGCAACACTTTCCATAGTTCTACGCATGACCGGGTAACGTTCTAGCACTATGTTGAAGTGATTTACACATAATGAATACACACTGACGTATGTCTCTGCTCTCACACTGGCTACTCTTTTAGCGTTGGTCAGCAGGCATATTTCTGAGGAAACATAAACGATGATAACTAAGAATCTATTCATGTCGGTTGAAAGATTATTTGTGATTAATATTTTTGACGAAAAATTGAAAACTTTGAATGAACTAATAACTCATTGGTCACAATTAAAAATGAAAAACGTATAACTGAATATATATATAGTACATCAATCATTGATGTTCAGTCACAAGAACAATCGTACAGTACAATTCCGATTAAATGCAGGCTACTCACCACCGAAGTACGACCCATCCGACAGGGATGTTGCAACTTCATTGTCAATTGTGATAATGTCCACGATCCCCTCGGATATAAAGTACATTTTGGTCCCCATTGTCCCTTCACGTATAATGTAATCACCCGGCTGATAAACCTCAAAGATCAATTTACTTATCACTTCAGACACAAATTGGGGGTCGGCATTAGCAAAGAACGGCACAGATTTCACCAGTGCTCTGCAATTGTGGTTAATGATATCCTAGAACAGAAAGAAAAATCTTCCAGTCATTCGAAATGACGTTTGTATATTTATGTATGTATTTGGCTTATTTTGAATGCACTTTACATAATTTACATAACATAAGTTTTCTAATTGTAGCGGGGTTTTCTTTGCACTGAAAAATGTACTAAAACATATTGCAGTTTTTTTTATATATATATTTTGATGTACCAATTATTGCGGATCATCAAACTGATAATTAAGCTAATCTGTTAAATGTGTTAATTCGTTGAAATTTGATTATCAGCAGTCCTATCACATTACTGACGGAAAAAAACGTTTGTTTGTTTAGCGTTTGTATCAGTTAGAAAATCATCACGTGTTCAACATTTGCAAATGACGCTTTATCAACATTCTTTTTAGTAAACCCAAGTAGATACATTTGTGAATAAGGTGCAGTTATTTTTCCTTTGAGGTCAAATTTTTGTAATAAGTCGATCATAATGCGAAAACATCTTTGATTCAAACTACTCTTTATCACGGACGCGGGGTTAAAATTTCTTTCTAGTATTCTTGTGAACATGCAAGACAGTTATTAAATTCGAATGATAGTGAACAATGATATTTTGCGCGAGTTATCATTTTGTATGTGTTGTTTCACAGTTGATATCATAATGTTTGGACGGTTAACCAATTGTCGTCGAACATCTCAACGGTGATGGGTATAGATCTGTTTATTTAAAGACATAACACTTATATAATAGGGTCTATGTTTCCAATACAAGGGGCTTCTCCATACGAAAGCAACGATGTCCTTTGAACTAATGAAAGTACCTGTGGTATTGTCATTGTTATAAAAGTAATCTATGTCAATTTTATACTGTTTTGCGTAATATACGGGTACGGAATGTTTTATTTGTACACGAAAATACAATTGCAACGGCACTTGATTGACAAAAATAACGGGCAGAGTCAATATAGGTATTACAAATGAAGAGAACGAGGTTTGTCAGTATATGAATATATATGTAGGGAGCGAGGTTTGTCAATATAGGAATTATATATGTAGGGAGCGAGGTTTGTCAATATAGGAATTGCATATGTAGAGAACGAGGTTTGTCAATACAGTAATCACATATGTAGAGAACGAGGTTTGTCTATATAATAATTACATCTGTACAGAACGAGGTTTGTCTATATAGTAATTACATCTGTACAGAACGAGGTTTGTCTATATAGTTATTACATCTGTACAGAACGAGGTTTGTCTATATAATAATTACATCTGTACAGAACGAGGTTTGTCTATATAATAATTACATCTGTACAGAACGAGGTTTGTCTATATAATAATTACATCTGTACATAACGAGGTTTGTCTATATAATAATTACATCTGTACAAAACTAGGTTTCTCTATATAATAATTACATCTGTACAGAACGAGGTTTGTCTATATAATAATTATATCTGTACATAACGTGGTTTGTCAATCTAGTCATCATTTAAGTAGAGAACGTTGTTTGTCAATGTAGGAATTACATATGTAGAGAACTAGGTTTGTCAATATAGTAATCACTTATGTAGAGAACGAGGTTTGTCAATGTAGGAATTACATATGTAGAGAACTAGGTTTGTCAGTATAATAATTACATATGTCGAGAACGAGGTCTGTCAATATAGTAATCACATATGTAGAGAACGAGGTTTGTCAATATGATAATCACATATGTAGAGAACGAGGTTTGTCAATATGATAATCACATATGTAGAGAATGAGGTTTGTCAATATAGTCATCACATAAGTAGAGAACGAGGTTTGTCAATAAAGGATTTACATATGCATTGAACGAGGTTTAAATCGAATTTACACAAAAGTACATGCATTATCAAGCGTAGTTAATACCAAAACAATATAGCAAAATATGAGATATAACATGAAGAATGATATTGTTGTAAAACAAAAATCAAAACCTGTCTGAGACATTCGTTCAGTTCACAAAGTATATTCTCTTCGTCAAACATCTTCCCCTGGTATCTGTGTTCGTAGTACTCGGATATCTTCTGGCGCAAGCGCCTGGGTAACTTCCGGTATATCATGTACTCCTCTACTTGTTTGAACTGTAAGATGACAAAATGAAAACGGAAATCACCAAAGTATATCTCAGACATGATTTGTACATTGTATCAAGGAGTATGAAAGTTGAAAGGCAAATAAGAAGTCTGTATATTTTCATGGTAACATATCTCAAAGCTAGGAAGTACAATATGCTGAATAATAAAGAAAACACAATTCATTTTCATTAAGTGATATTGACTATAAGGGTTACGGACTTATCTGTGTATGATTAACCAATAGAAATATATCAAAATGATGAAAATACGGGTTTAGAAGGACGTTAAATGGTGCAACAGTCAATAACAAAAATCTATATCGAGTTTTTAATTGATATCAAAATTACCCTTATCTCATTTACATTGCCGTTTCGTCCTTGTAAGACTCGTCATTGATATCAAAACTCTTATTATTAAACCCAGGAGACGACTTTGAAAGAGGTAATACTGGTGCAAATCCCACATGATGCAGAAGATGTTGTAATCGTCATATATCTGGTGATTTTAGAAGAATTTCCAGTACATGTGTGTATTGGTAATCGACCACCGTTCGAATGAATTAAAACGTAGAATACAGGTCAGGACAAACTTTGGGGACATATAATCTAGCAGCCCGCTGTATTGCAACACCAAAATATAATTACTGATGATACTTTTTTGTCGTGATATTCATATTGGTGTAAAATGTGATTGCTTCTTCAGTAGTATCCTATTCTTACACGAATTTTACTATCCTTATACAAATTGTACTGTCTTTATATAAATTGTTCTATTCTTATACGGAATGTACTATTCTCATATAAATTGTACTATTCTTATACAGAATGTACTATTCATAAACGAATCGTACCATTTTTATACGAATTGATAGTACTACCATTTAATGTTTTTTTCATCTGAATAATCATCAATAACAATGAAAATATCCACTGTTTACTTTATGAATCTAGTGTTTATGTCCAATAGGTAAATCTTTAATTGAAATTAACCTTTTCATTGTAGAGTCGTCTCGATGTGTCGAAGGACTGAATGATGGTGGTGGTATGACCGAGGAATAGTGCATAGCATGTAGCCCCACTAAGCATACTCAGTATTGTCAACCAAGTGTCCGTCATGTTTTGGGGTGGAAACCGGCCATACCCAATGCATAGCATGTGGGAAAGAGCTTTAAATAAAGCCCATGTGTATTGCTCCGCCCAATGAGCTTCCTGCAAGAAAGAATATGGGTATATGAATATGATTTTTAAAAATGTAATTGTATTGCTTTCTAATTACCAAATAGAAAATTATGATATTAATATATGAGAATGAATACGGTATAAGTAATATAACATTAACGCATACAAAGCTAGCAACTATGTATCTATACAAATGTACTTGTACATGTACTTATGTCAAGCACATGCCTTTTAAAACTAATCTATTATCGCATTAATGATTATTTTGGTTAATTTGCCTGAATGATATATAATTCTGTTATACACTTTCCGACATTCTTATAGTCCTATTTTATTTCTATGAATATGCATGCTTTAACGAGAGATGATTGGCAAACGATGTGGTGATTAGTTAGAACTGATGGTTTCTGTCTACTTGATTTTCAATTCCAGTACTTGGTTACCGTATTAAACTGCCAGTGTTTATGCATATAGTGTTTTCTTCATACAGACTTTTATGTATATATGAAAACCAAAAAAATCAGTTTAAAATGTCAGTTGGTATTAAGGTAGAAACGTTCTCAGTTTCTCCTAAAATCACGGCTGACCTACAAGCACATTTCCTTGATACATAACACATGTGTTCCCCATATTCTACGTTCAAAGAACTGTATTCGCCCATAAGCAATATATATATATTTTTTTCACCAGGATATGGAAATACACATAAACTTCTGGTTATGTACACGACTGATAGATCAATATGCCTAAAAGCACCCACGTTCGCACACCGTGTGTCTACGACATGGATGACACGCACTTCCGGTATAGTTCATAGCCTTTGAGTTGTCCATAGAAAGTGTGCGTGTACTGTTATATAAATATGTGTGTGTGTTTTAAATCTGGAAATTCCTCAGAAGGCTGGTTAAGACTATATCATGTGATCGCTGACATTAAAGTGATCTAGTTCGTGTTTTCTGAAAATTTTATATTGGGTTTGAGTAATATATAGGAAAGCGCTTTTGTATCTGTAACTTATTTTAATGCCTTTATAGTACACTGTAGGTAGTAATAACAGTAATGAAGTAAAACATGAAATAGTGATTATGATTTATTTTGTATGGGAAAGAAATTACTGCGCAAATTCAAAAAGTAATAAGCAGTACTAACTTGATATTATGAATTTAAGTTGAATATGCATGGAACTATCTACTTGCTTATGAGTCAGAGAGTTTGTGAAAAGATGATGAAACCTAGTAAATGGACAAAATATTCCGCGAAGGATGTCATATATACATTTAAGGCGTAACGTATTAAAAGGTATGTCGCAAAATAGAGTGACCAATACAAACCTTCAGCCCCTCTATAGATACCCAGCAATCGTCAGGATAGTCCTGCAGCATTGGTATAAGGAATTGGAGACAGCCATTCCAATGTCCCAGAAGAAACATTAGGCAAAGCAAGTTAAAAATCCGCATGAACTTCCCTGCAAATGCTAAAAACTGCAAAAAACAAATCAAAGAACTGAATAGGAAACTTGATTTATTATACAGATACTCAAATGTTTCCTGGATTTCCTTGCACGTCTGATATAACAACAAAAGAAGAATATCATTGTGAAGTAGTAGAAACATCAAAAATATATTTGAATACCAGAAAAAATTCCTGAAAATACCAACAATATAGATTATGTTTCAATACAACAATACATTAAACGAAATCTACACCATTATCCATTGAATTAGCTGCACCGAATTAATACTAGTAAGGATTTTTTTAATGCGATTTCTCGCTACGATAGTATTTATTGTCTTCAATTGATAATAACGAGTATCAAACAAACTTTATAAACATACTTTAAAGAATATGTCACAGTTAGATTTTATCTCATTGTGACCATATATCTATTCATCTGTGATAGTTCATTTTATAAGCATAGTGAAAACCATGATCGTAAACATTGCTGATATTCAAAAAGCAATGCCAACTTTAATTTGATTTAAATCAGATAAATATTCAAAACAAGAAAATCTGAAAAGTGAAAAAAAAAGAAAAGGAAGATTAGTTTAAAACATCCGTCAATATGAACAAACACAAATAATTCGAGTAAAATGACGACATACGTCAAATATTTCAACCAATTTCAGATTTTGTGGTCTGCGCCAAGGCTAGAAATCGGAAAATATGAATGGCCTTTAAATAATAATAAGATGGGAAGAGGTTAAATAGATGATGCTATGATACAAATAGTACTGATATAAAATTGGAAATGGTCTATAGTGGTTGGACAATAGGCTACATATACTTATGTCCGAGGGAGGGAAGTGGATTATCAAATATGTGCGTTGTTATATATTTTTTTAAATACAGTGCTAAAATAATGATATGCAATGAAATCAATAAAGTTAGAGTTTGAGATAATAAGTATTGCACAGAGGGTTGGATATATATGGGGTATTAATAACGAACAAAAATCCGCAAACTAAAATATCGAAATCTGTCATATATGTTTCGAGTATAAAGCAAACAATAAGAAACGTTTACAATTACATGTAAGAAGAAAACTGAAAATATAATGCACAACGTACATAAATGGAAAAGTAGTTTGGCAAATACAGACAACGATATATTAAATTGTATACAGAAAATCCCTAAAGAATAAAGAAATAGTGTAGATATTAATAGTATAATATTATAGTATAATATTAGTAATACACATACACTAGTGTGTATACACCAGTAATAATTTAAACAAGATTTATAATTATGTTGTCTCAATCATAGTTGCCTGCTAGGCTTTCATTTTGTCAAGTGTGTGAATAATTTTCTTAAATATACACCTACACAAATATGTGTTCTAGACAGTTATTCATCTACAATAAATTATAATTTCTACACGAAATTCCCGATTTTATTATGCTAAATTGTAACATTGTGTCAAGCAGCTTAGTATGAAATGAATTAATCGTATTTGTTTTTACATTAATAAACAGCAACGCTGTTTGTAAAATTGATATAAAATTATCGTATGGAGCATACAACAGTTTGAAATAAGAGATGTTAAGAATTTACCAGCCAATCTTTGTTTTAGATGGTATTACATTCAACGCAGGGGAACATGTTAAGAAATCAGGTTTATTTCTTTGTAAGTAAGTATATGGGAGAATATAATTCGTTAATGGAGATGTCAGATTGAAATTTAAAACAAAATCATGGTCTAGTTTCTCACTCTGAAACACATGACAAACATGATCTGATCTAGGTATATTAAACTGCTTTTGTATATTTCTATATGTAAACAGTCTTGCTAAAAAACCGACTACAGTTTTTATGCAAACTTTACTATGACTATGACAATACTGAAATAGCACAAGAAAACGAATTTCTATCGCCTAAAATCTTTTATTTGATTCTAAAAATTACATGTGCAGAGAAATTTATGTGATGGTATAATTTTTGTTGCGTAAAGAGTCTGAAGCAACTACGCTACGGTGAAAAACAGCTAGTAAAAAGTGCACCATAGTGATAAAAGCTATCATGATATATGCGTTTAAGGAGGCCAATGAACGACATGGGACAAATCTATCTATCAGGTAAAATTTGCAAACAATTATACATATTGTATATCATCTCCTTGACCATATGTAAGTCGAGCATGTTGCTCAATAAGTTATCAAGAATAAATGAAGTCAATTATCATCATTATTATTACTATTATAAGGTTCGCTTGTCATCATGTCAATGGAAAAAGGAGGCATACTTTCGTAATATGCTTCTTTTTTTTCTATTTACCAGTATACAATCACAACTTGCTTCCTATAAAAAATAATTTCTTCTGAAGTTAATGAAATACATGGATTTTACTTTATTGAAAGTTGTTTAAGGCTATTGTGTTCTGAGCACTGTATTTTACGATATATCACTGTTTCACCACTATAGTCGTAATTCCGTTTTTAACATATGTAAGGTGATTTAACGATAGTTTATGCCACTTTAATACAATAAATTATTGAACTGAACATGTTGTAGACCATATGCATTTACTATAACAATGGAAATATCTATTTATATTTAACACTAATTTTGATTGTAATCTGCAAGATATATCGAATTTTTGAGTGGTTATAATTAAGTATTTATGTGATGAATGATGTGTATTTCAGCAAGTAAATAATAAATTGCAAGCCAACAATTCAAATACCTCGCTGTCTCGTGCAGCTATGTCAGCAGGGGTAAGTGCTAAGAGTAACGGCGTAATGCAAGCAATGTTAATAATAGTGGCCAATTAAATCGCAGCTACCATGTAAAGCATAGATGAATTGGCCAATAAATCACTCCTACTGAAAAGCACTCACCCCAGGTCGTCTGCGACGTCCGCACATAGCGAAACAGGGGCTTCCTTCAAACTGATGGGAAAACAAACGTCTTAATGGCATAGCATGCTTAATAAGAAGCATTTTAGAAACAATACACTTACTAACAAAACGTTAGTTATGATGGAAATCGTAATGATATTAACTTTAGAATTTTTGCATAACTTCATGCAAAGAACTGGAGCAGAAAGGGTTCATGTATATATTAACAAGATTAATTTCTGTAGCACATCAATGGCTCACAATATTATAATTGACACAAAAATTGTTAACAGGAAACACAGCTGAACATATTAAATTCTACGGGTCTAAGCATGTGAACAGATTCATGTTTTGTTATTAAATCGATACCAAGACAAAGAAACAATAACAAACTAGAAATCATGCGCAAAATAGTTAACAAAGAGACAATGAAGACACAATGTGGGTTAAATCATGCATGCCGAAAAGTGTTAAAAGTGCTATAGAGAGCTCGATTTAGTGGTTTAGAAATACAAAAGTATAAGCAGATAATTTAGCATAGCCACTTCCCTCCCTTGAGAACAAAAACAGTGAATATTCTGTGCTAATCCTATGATTTCTAAGTGCATATGTCTATATCAATTGAAAAAAAGAAGTGAAAGTGAGCAAGAGTAGATTCTATCAAAACATTGCTATAATGTCTGATTCATTTTGGTCGCATTCTGTTGCCTTAATTGTTTCTACTTCGGCATTACCACAAAGAACACTAGAGTGATATTATACATATACCGTACATTTTTTGCCATATGCTAGAATGAAGATAGAAAAAAGAATGACGGAAAAATGTAAAGAAAAAATAACAAACATAAGTTTAGAAACTAAATATACGATATAGTTAACATATTAAAACGTTAAATTAAAAGATAGAAAGAAGGCTAGAGAGATGTTTGATAACGAGAACGGAGTTATCTACTTTACTTTCTTCGGATTAAAATTGAAAGAAGGAAACATATATTTCATTAATGTATAGCAACACTAACAAATATTTCAAACAAGGGACAACTAGCTTATAAATAAATTATACATATCAGAAATCAAAGCATTGTTGAAGTATAACCCAGGATTTCAATAGACCTGGACTAACTGGGTTGGTGATTGACGCCTGGGAGATTACATCTTACCTCCTCCCATTGCTGAACATAGCGCACGAGGCGGGAAAGCCGGAGAAGTCGAAGTAGACTTAGCAACTTAGCCAGACGCAGCATTCGGAGTGCTCTCCCTGGAACAAACCGATAAAGCATACCTTTGCACTGCATTAATAAAGTGACTGATATTACATTGTGAGTGTGTTCTATTTGTATATTATTACTAATACAAACACCATCAACGAATTTAAAGATATTAGTAACAAATGTAATCTATACAAACATAATACGGGAAAAATAACGATTAATCATGTATTATAAGGAATAAAATAAGATAACGAAAAGAAGGTATTGAATAGTTTTGATGGGTAAAATAGATAACAGTAAAGTACCAAATACTAAAAGGTATGTTTTACAATGAATTTTGCTTTTCGTAATATATTGCCGATTTGGGTTTTTGATTAAAAGGACCAATAAACTATCTTATATAGATACATATATCAGTACTAGTTGTCCTGTAGATATCGTTCGACAAATAAACAATAATTCTTTTTTGTAGATTCGTCATTGAGTTGATAATTATACAAATCCAATGGAAATGTCTATTTCTAAAATCACAATTGTAGGAACTGCATTGTTTTGCATGTCTCTTCTACTTGACACAAAGGGTTAACGAACTGACAGTAATTCACATTTGGAACATCGTGGTCCATATTGACGAATCAATGAAAATGCAATGCACAGTTCATGTACATATTGATGTATTGTTCAGAACGTTTATCAAGTAGATACTATCTATAAAAGAAAGTGACGTTTAGTTGTATGAAACGAAATGAAATTTGCTGAACAGTGCATTTTACTATAGATATATATTTGTACAGCGCATAACTGCCAAGCATGTCTGAAAGCTGATTTTTCATAAAAAAAAAAAACCATGTCGATTCTAGCATTATGTCAGTTTGCAATTACTCTATTTTGTCATAATATGTTGTCATATCTTATTCTTCTATGTTTGGCCAAAAGTACCATTTGTACGTAATGTCATGCTTTTACCAAAATTGGTACTTGGATTCAGTTATCTGCTGCATCAAATTGTATATGTACATGCTTAGAAATATATGATAACTTTGACCATCATACAAATAGCCAACTTATGACCTTGAACTAATGTAAAGTGATTTTACATGTTCAATGGACTTACCATGAACAATATAATGAGATAATATTTGATGCAGAATACTAAAAAAAAAAAAAAAAAAATGAGAAGAAAAAAAGGAATGACAAAAATACAGCCAACATACGGTTGATAAGAATGGCACGTAAAGCATGCAGAACAAGGACGGACCAACACAGATCATAACAAAACAAATATTGAAACATAACAAATGGAAGGAGACATTAATTAAATATACATCAAAGGAAATTAATTCTGATTTCATCGCTTAACCAAACATCTCGATTGTTTTTTACAAAACGAAACAGATCTGTAATGGCCCAGTAAATAAAGTTAAAAAAACATAAATAAATGTGTTATATTATTGGTAAATAAAACAAATTATAAGAAAAAACATAACATGTAATAAAATAAATAAAATGAGGAAAACATGATGAAACTGTAAGGCGACCATTCTCACATTTGCATATTGACTTCCGTTGACCTTTCTGAGAGGAAGAAACAGTAAAGTTATGAAGCAAAGCGTACATATGTATATACAGGTAAACAGGACACCACTGGATTATATACAGGTATGTAAGTGCAAGACGTGACAGGTGAAAGTGCAAGCTGGGACTGTGATACCAACTCAGAATTCACAATTATTTTTATAGTAAGTACATGGTGTTGTCTCCGATTACTTTGAATATCAACATTACATTTACAATGTTTTTATTACTGAGCATGCTTTGCATCGGGTGTTTTCTATATATACTTGTGTGTCTTGATAGCATAACATACAATTTCTCTGTTGTCGTGTGATTGGGTTTTTTCCTAGTGAGAACTATAGTGAGAGAAGCTTAATAAACTAAGGTCTATACTAATGATTCATCAGTGAAATATATTTGACAAACAACTATAATTATGGTCACCTGTTCAACAAGACAAGTGAATAACAGGGACAGTTGGCATTTATTGTCTTTTTAGTATCATTTTACTTGCTTAATATTGTTAGTTCTGAATTCTATAGATATCTTAATATTACGATCAGTCATGCATTGAAGGACTATCAACTGATATCACTTTGAAGCAGCAGCAGCAGCATCCAAGAAAAAAATCAAGCTTGCGTTGGTTAGCAGTGACACTTGCAGCAGGCAGCAGGCACTTGATAGTGCTCGCAAAGACAAACATATCGAAAGATAATTTTTGTAAAAGTATATGCCCATTGACAGCAAGCCACGCCCCACCCACGAAATGAAAACGGTCAAGTGGAAAAAGATTAAACAGGAATGAAATGCAAATGAATATTCTGTTTCAACTCGGCGTCGTTTAATAGATAAAATACGAGAATGATCACCTTGCCAGTATGGCGATGGGCCCATTGAAGCAGTCGTACCTGCGTGGAAAAGCTGGTTGAAGTCTGCCTCTGCATCCCACATAAGAAAAATATAGTCCATTGGAATGGAACTTATCAAATCAAGGAAAAACCAGGATTTGACGTAATGTCTTGCAATTAATTTTGGATCTAATATGATTTCATCGGCGAAGTCATTTAATATCACACCTGCAAAAAACAAAGCAAAAACAGAAGTTAAGGAATGGAATCTTTCAGAGTGACATACAAACACATTTTGATCATTAATTCTGAATTAGAAACTTTAAGAATAATAACGAAGTATATGAACAATCAACATATCTGATACATACATGTACATGTATAACAAGAGCAGAAAAAAGCTGATAAAGAAAGCAAAACTCTAATTCAACTTCACAACATGTGCATAATGCAGTTGATGTGTTTATCATTATGTCGGTGCATTTCGACAAATATGTTCTTTGACATAGACTGGTTGGTTTAAAAGTAGTTAGATAAACAGCAATGGAATACAACAACAATATAAAAACAGAACAAAACTTAAATTTAAGTCCTTATATAATAGTATGTATTAATCACGCAATTAAAAAACATTTGCAATATAAAAATACAGTATATATTTAAAGCAAGAAAGACAAATAAGAAAACAGAAAGGGTCATTAATGCTCAATTTCATAATGGCAAATGATTTTTAAAATTACACCAAAATTATTAAAAACTCATTTTTCAATTATATATACTAGTATTATATTTAGTTCTATACGTACAAAAGATAAATGGATATATATTAATCATTTCGATAGTTTATATTAAATGTCAATACAACATATACAGCACAGCCTGCAGTCATAAAGCAACTACACGCAAATGAAAAAAAGGAAAAGCACTTAATAACATACTTGAAGATCGATCTCTTAATCTTTTCATTTCTTTAACAATTATGGATTTTTTCAGACAAATCTAATCATCATATTCATAACGATACATGTTACATGTGTAAATGAAACGTATATTTGTACATATTTTTTTTTTATATTTATCGGTAAAAAAAATGATCAGAATTACAGTTATACATGTGCATCGGAACGAACATCATTATCAAGACTATTTTCATATAAAAGTATGAACCCAACATTGGTGAACCGGACAGCTCTGTAAACTGGAAAGGTATCAATTTCTTTTATTAACAGCAATTTCGTTACACATCTGTTCTGATTTTTTTTCATACATAAAACTCTGTTTCAACTCTAACATGAAACGCAATTTGATTTTCTCATATGAAATAAAACAGTTATATGTTATTGATGTAACTTATTTATCCCTTTCAAGCTTGCTCTCGTGCTAATTAACTTGTGTGTGATGGACATGTATATCCAACAGAACTCTACATCATTCAGTGGGTAGAAAGTCGAGATTCCTTGTACTTGTCGATTGAACATTTTTTCGCCCTTCCCCGAATATGTACAACGAAACAAAAACAATACAAAACTAGAAAAAAAAAAGAAGAAGAAGAAAAAAAATTTAAAAAAAAATGAGTACAGAAACTTTTAAAGGGAGATTATTGAAAGGAACAGTAAAAAAACAGTAAACCGTAGAATGTAAGCGGATTGAGTGCTATCAGGTGCAGATACCAAGATAGCAACGAGAATTAAAACAATGTACTGACATTTTATGTCTCCAATTCCGACGTTATTGATAGTGACGTCGTAATAATTCTAAAATTGGACAGATTGATCGGCGCATCCTTTGGGAATATCATTATCACAGAAAGTGAAGTGAGAGACGGGAGAAAATTTATTCAATTAGAAAAAAAAAACATTATCATTTACATATTTGTTGGTCGATTACTGCACAATATGTTAAAGTTGCAACAGAGTTTATTTTCTATGACAATTGATCTGGTAAGCATTATATGAAATAAAAACAACAATCTATAGACTATCATATCAACATAATTCACACTAAGTACTACAGTCATATAACCATATCACACTACTATAGTACTACATGTTCATTAGAACGTACAAGATTGGTGTTACTTTGATTGCTAAACAGGCGGTACCTACACCTGTGACTACGTTCTAATAGGAAGGAACTATCTATACGTCCATCTACATAAGTTAATAGTAACATTTTCCTTGAAGCAATTTGTGTTATATTGTTAGTTTTTACAGTTGAAAAAGCATTAAGCTCTAGCAAATTAATTTTCTCTCACGGAACATGATGCAGCTTGTTTTCAAATTGTATATTTTTGTCATTATTTTCAAATGTTCTTGGTAAATGTGAAATATATATCATATACCAAAGAATGCATTAATGAACATATTCAAAATGTCACATGAATCTTTATTCATTCAAAAACGTGGCGTGGTTCCAAATATACACATAAACTAGATGTTGAATTTATTGAAACATGGAGCTAGTGAATCTTCCAATCTAGATTTTGACATTTCATTCTAACAACTTTTCGCAGTCTTCTCTCAGTTCTAAAAGTTGCAGTTTTGAGAGAGAATTTGATGTATGATACAGCTGTTTGATGCAGTTTACTTCATTGTGTGGTTCTACTGTGTCTAACTAGAAATTTGCATTGAAGGCGTTATTCATTTGTGTGACTTTGTACAATCTTATATTATCATTTTTTTCAATCAGAGAAGTAGTCAATTATCCAATGAATCATGTAGATATAATAACAAAAAAGATAAAATTTGAAACAATTGTTGGAATCGAGTAAAGGTAAAAGGAAAATAATCATTAATAATTGTGAAAAATTATCACATCAGTAAAACATGAAAACCAGCATATTACATGTACATTATAATAACGAATAAAAGAGTTCATCTTTTCAATAATAATACAAAAGAAGAAGAAAAAGCAATAAGGATGGTAAAAGAAAATAGCAAAGTTCAATATCAGATTATGTTTGATGACATTTGGCTTTAAGGACACATAGTATTCGGTTAAGATCACGTGTTCATCATATTATGAATGATCCGGAATATATAAACTATGAAATTGTGCTTCCTTTTACGACATTACAAACACTACGATGTTAGTGTCATTCGTGAATTATCTACAGTACTGTTAAAACCTGTTAATTAACAATCCAGTATGTGTCTAGCTACTTTCTAGTAGATTTTGTTAAATGCACCACAAAATGCAGATTTTGAATGTTCCGTAATTCACGTCACCTTGCCAAACTTTAAAGTGAATTGGACTGTTGGTATAGTGTAAATATGAGCAATCTTGTGAAAATACCTATATGTATAACTTACTGTTGACGTTTTCTTGGTCGTCATGGCTGATTTGGAAACCTGATTTTAAACGTTACGTAAAATGACCAAACATGTTGAGGTAAACATTGCAGGTACACTTTTTAGGGAAAAACAAACGGTTGGACTAAAATCAGGTTAATAATTAATCATATTTGCTAATATTGAGTTAGTTAGGAAATTTTGAATAAAATAATATACTTCAAAAGATAATACCAATTTATCAAGATAGAAATAGACAATTCTCTTTCTGTTTGGTAACATTAGTATTATACTTAATGGATAATCAGTGCATATGAACGGTATTATTCTCAACCTATTTGCTAAAAAAATGAATACCTTTAAGGTTGTCATTTTGATTGGTAATATTTCGCATTATTTATTAGAATGCATTCATTACAAAAAAATGAAGAAAGAATGAAAGATATATTTTTTCACGTGATGCTATACATTTACAACGCAAAAATACGACCGATCGCCAAAAACAACCTTCAAGGTATCGAATATTGTGTTGACTTATGTATGGTTTACCTTTTTGTTCTTTAAAACAATTAACATATTGTATGAAATATTGTTGTTTCTATTGTCGTTATAGGTACTTACAAGTTTGCTACCATTCAGATCATTTTGTTTTTTAAATAAGATATATATTCTATCAATTCCATCACGGTTCATACTTAGAAAATCAAATAGATGTATTGCATATTGGTCACATGTTTTCTTATGTTGATTTTTATCCTTGTTTCTGATATTTCATACAAAAACTTGATTTCGTTTATTGCTGATAATGGAAACTATATATGCAGCTCTATTGATACCTGAATACACAAACATCATTGTAATTAGATCCATTAGAAAATAACCATACATGCCAACCACGAACACATTATATTGATTGCGTATACTTAGCTATATACATATGTAAGCAGTTGACAGTAATTTTGTCAAGCTATCATCATTTGCGAAAAGTAGTAACCCGTAGTCAATTGCTTTATGTAACAGAAACAATTACACACCCTTATGTGTATTGGTGTGTACAGTACTGATATACGTTAGTATGTATTCAGGCATATACTAACACAATTTGTTCATGAGATCGACTTCATTTTGTGTTAGATTCCTTAAAATTACAATTCCAAATTGTAATTAGATTGAACAGTTAAAAAATCAAACTGAAATATAAACACAATTTTACAGCTACCTAAAACACATAACGGAGCTATTGTGTGTTGTCTGGTCTGAATCAAAACGAAATGTCAACGGAATCTTAATACGGAACGAAACGAAGTGAATGAAAGGATGATATAGAAAAACATACTAATTCATGCATGACGGGAATTGCCCAAGTATATTAGCACTAAGGACAGCGACTAGCTGCTTCAGACGTGCACTGTTTATTTCCGGGCGCTTGTTAGTAGTCTCAAAGCATGTTTATTTTCACCAAAAACCAGTTCTAAATGCTGTAATGTCTTGAAATGTGTTTTTCTCTCTAGACATATGTTTAAAGTGTCTTTTTTAGTACCGTCGATGCAAGATACATATAGCAAATATTTATTGAAGTTTATTCATCGTATGTACTAATCTAGTATAGCACAATGATGAACATCAAAGCAAAAGCAAATGCATACGGATATATACATGTATATAAATGACAATGTAGTTTATATCAAAACATCCACCGCACTGGACACTGAGCAACTTAAAACGACAACAGCATGCCTCAGTAACCTTATTGCTGACGTATGTACATGTTGCTGTTGTTTTACCATTGTACACTAGTTTTCAAATCGAGTGTTTCAGGTATCAGTGTATGTTACTAATAAAAGAATGTTATTCTTCCTTATAATGGTACAGATTTTACTATTTACTTCCATTATTGAAACATGAACCAAGTTACCAATCATAAATCTTTCGTTATGTATAAATCAGAAGGCTATGTATATTGCCAAAATGTGGTCAGGAAGAAATATGTAGGTTGTTTCTCCAGACAGTATATTTCATTAACTGATACAAAAGTAGAAATACCATATAATTTGTAGCAAACGAAATGGTACCATACGTTCATTGTGACTGGTTTGATGCATACTAAATGTTTGAATTAAAGTGTTTTTCTCTTCTTGATTTGATTTGTTTTTTATTTTTGTTTTTGTTTTTTTGTTTTTGTTTTTTTTTATGATTATTTTTTTAAATTTCGTTTTTGTTTAATATTCATCATTATTAAATTTCTTGACAATGCTTATGACACAGATATTTCATATTAAATTTTCATATTCTAACAGTTTTATTTATACATGTACAATTGGCTTTGTGATTTTTCGTTATTTATTTTTCTCCTAGAACAAAAGAAATACAAAGCATACAGTTTACATGAATGAGCGTAACGTACTGATGCACCCTGTAACACTGAAACACCACGTCACAATACCAGCCCGTATTATAGACATCAGATCATTGCATACATCACATACAATGTACGTGAGTAAAAGCGTATGCATATATAAGGTCATCTGATTAAGATGCGGTTATCGTGATCGCCAAAATGAATTTGTAATATTTCTGTTAATGATTTATCATATTTTAGAGTAAACGGTAGAGCTAAATAAGGTAAAGCAGAGGTCACGTGGGTGTAGTGTTGCAAAGCTTGTGCACCTGACTACCAAATATAGACTTCTTACCATTTGAAAAAGTCTGCTGTTGGGTATCTTTCAGATATATTGACTGAATATAACCCCCGTCGTCACATATACCTGATGATGCACGTTTGAAGCATTTAGTCACATGTCTTTTCTATTTTACTGGCACAACCTACCCCTAGGGACTAGGCACCATACTGACTGGCTCAAAGCTGAACGAAATGTGATAATGGTTTCGGTCTAACTTAAAGTTGACCTTACAGTGATTGGTGATTTGAAATTCAATTTTGGTGAATATAAACATGTGTTATTTCACAAAATAAAATAAAAAAATACTTCGGTGCATTAAAACGTCAATACTGTGAAGCCAGTCAAAATGGTTCATAATAGAAGTGAATAAAGACAAAAAAACTAGGGGCAGACAACCAGTTAGTGATATAAAGAAATTAAAGTTGAAAGAAGTGATTCAGCACCTATCAATAGTTACCGCTCACATATCAGTTTCACACTATTTTCCTATCCAATAATGCTGAGTATCAAAAATAGTTTTGTGTGATATGGCTCATTTTAATAACAACTCCTTGTCCTGATAAATTGTCTTTAGAAGTAGCATTTCTCTTTATTTTTCATTTTTTTTGCCTGTAAAACGATATCACTTAATCTCATACCTTAAGCTAAAATTCTTAAAATTTTTGAAGATTTTTGTACATGTATGTAATACGATTTAATTTACTGAAAAAGTACGTATTGTGTTCTGTAGGTTGTAGTTAAATTCAGAATGAACTAAAGCTAAAATGTATATCGTATATAAATATAAATATGTATATAAGCCTTAAAATACAATATCTGATTTTAATATATTGCGACATTACAACAAATAGAATATAATTGCAGACACGATATACCAACATAAGTAATATTTGCAATTTACTAAAACATTTTCTTACTACAAACTTTTTTTTTTGCTAAAGCAAGAGCTAATAATAATTATCAGTTGAATATTTACCAATAAAATATATTTCTTTTTGTTTTTTCAAAGCGAACATCAATCGTGAAATATTTGAATAACTAATTGGCTGGAAGGTTCACACGTTCATGCTAATTAACTTAAATATGAAATTTACTCACCCGTTCTAAAATTGATAACGATATCTAGAAAGAAGACTGTATCAGATATACAATTGAACACGATCCAGTGAGTGCTCAAATCGTCGTTGAAAAACGATATGGCAACCGGAAGTATGATGAGATTGGCGATGAGAAGAACTAACATAAATAGATCCCAATAAAATCTGAAACAGAAAATAAAACAACGTTAGTTTATGATTTACATTTAATTGATTTTATTACTTATTTATTTAACAATAAAGGTGTCGTTTTAGGTTTGCAATTCACAATATAATGTGTTACTTTGGTTTTTGCCAAGATCTTTAGAAAAGACAGATTTTGCAAATAAGAAAAGGACAAACTTGTCTATTCACAATACTCATAAATTTTCAGTATTTGGTGACCCTGTATATCTTGTCATGGTCATTCAAAGAAAAAGCGATGAAGATAGAGTTAGAGCTGTTTCGGATTATGTGTTTTGTGCTATCAACAAGTGCAGTAGTGCTCGCAAGACTGGTAAAAATACTTTGTGTTTGACATGGTTTGCGTAGTGTATCTTAAGGCGCTGAAATTAACACTATGAATTTTGTCATCACTGGGCCATTAGTAAAATGGTATCGGCAGTTTTAGCGTTTTCCATTTGATATCATCTGTGTAATTAATATTTTTCCAGAATACAAGTTGTTCTTTGAATATTAGTAGTGTTTTGTAATTTTCATTCAGTATTATCGGTAATGTCTCCCTCGATATCTTCGGAACATAGAATGTTAAACTATTGGAAGGGACGTAATATGTTCGGAATGTTACCAGTTCTTCGAACACAACCCAATACCCTTGGGTGTGTCAAGTTAAATGCAATTACATGTAATCCTGGGCGTACTGTAGACCTACGGATTGCCAAAATATGAAAAATATTTTTTATAGAATTGGTGCCTTTTGAACCTTCAATGTTGCAATAACTGATAATTTTACATTGCCGGTATTATAGAAACATTTTGAATATGAAACGGACAGGTCCATCTTGATATTTCATTATGCTAGCACTTTGTATTTTGATTGTACCTAACCAGTACCAGGTGGTATGGAATGTAACATACATAATTGAGTGGTTAGTCGTGGCCGATATACGAGTTTGTACTTGGATGTTATCTGTATTTTCTTTGTCGTCACAAGAACTTAACTCTGGTAATGTTGGTACATTGTAATAAGCATTGATATCAATGGTTATAAAAGAGTGTTGCAATCGTATCATAATGATCATCAAGTATCTCCATTATAATGTTTTAAACCAGTAAATTAGATTAGATATCACATAACAGTAGTGCTTTGTATCAAAAGCTATTGTACTCAACATTTAGTGTAATACTTACATCGCACTGAGCATTTATACGCATCAGTGCATTCTGTCTAGTTTTGAGTATCAAAACACACTACACATAACACTAATTTACAGTGCTTCTAGCAGATTCCATCAGTGTTAACAATACTTTGCTATTACGTTTGGTAACCACACTGATATTTCAATCATATTTGACCATTCTTCTGTATCTACATCTAAATTATGTTGATTAAGAATTCTGTAAAATCCCACTCGCCATTAATTTGTGATTGACATATATTTCTTCTGAATAGTTTTGACCTACATACGGTGATGATGTGGTTTTATGTTCCAAATCTTATGATTAACATGTTACAGTGACCGGAAGTAACATGATCTGTCTTAGCAACGCGAAAAACTATTTTCCAGGAACAAGAACGAAACCATGTGGCTCTTCTTTTGCACAGCTCCATATTGATTGTATGATCAACCCAATAACAAATTAGACCTAAGATATTTCTTTTGGAATTCGATACAGACAGGTCTGTCACGTGCAACCAATGATCCGGGCGTTTATTGTCAATTACATTTCTAGGTCAACTGCCATCATGCTGGTTGTCTTTCCAGGCGAGGAACCGAACACGTGCACTTCGACTGCTTCCCGTTTTTGTACAAATATTTCAGACCAGAAAAAAATTCATAGAATTTGAAACGTTATATTATACACATTTTGCGGTTTCAGGAAATCTGTTATAAACTATTTGGAATTCTTTGAATTAACCGAGTGATGTACACAAATACATAATATCACTTGATCTATGATATCGATCAAGAAAGCAAAGCGTATTTCATACATTGAACCGACACCAAATGCGATTTTACTTCCAATGATATTCCTCGCCTCTATGTACTCATAATGCCGTGTGCAATTATTTAGAAAATCCCCATAATTACTTAACTAAACCAGAAAACAAAGTCAATCATGAGAGAAATCGCTGACGCCATGTTAAAACATGTGATACATTTTGACGCCACTAAGTGCATTCCAGTACAGTATCATTTGATTATTTCACGATAAACACATTTGTCAATTATCATGCGCGTTACCTTTAACATATCTTTCCAACAATCTTTCAACTTTGATTACTCAGACACATGTTATTTTTTTTTTTTTGGAAAAGTATCCGTTACCACATCATTCCAAATAATGTTTCAAAAAAATAATTAACGAAAAGGTCAATGATGCTATGTAAGACTTCCTTATTGCGCCAAAAAAGGTAATATATGATAATTTTTTAATTGTTTCTGTAAGAATACGTAAGCGATTTTAATGCATTGATGATTCATTGGGTTGGTAGTGTAAAAACAGTAACCAAAAACACTCGGACTTTTGGAGAACACTTTTTCTAGGTAGACCTAATGGCAACATAGCTGTAGATCACGCCTTCTTATTCATAATGGAAATATTTGCCCCGCGTATTCAGTTATGAAGTAGACACTAATATTTACTTGATGCTATGCGCGTTTAATACCATTTTTGTTGTTGTTTCAAGAAGATTTCTGTTTCGAAAAATACATACATTCATATTTATATATATACCATTTTATAAAACTATAAGAAAAATGAAATCAACAGCAATTTTCTGATTTTCGTAAAAAAATACACTGCAAGATTTCAGTAAACCGCGAAAATATAACCCAAGGAAAACCCAACTTTTACATTAAGGGTATTTAAAAGTTGTTTATACAGCTGTGCAATGCATGCTATCTCTATTCTTTATTGATTTTTTCATTGATTTTTCTAAACCAATTATTTCCCTTAATTAAATATGTAAGGGCGAGTATAGCAGTATAGAGATGTTCATTGCAAAACTGTTAATAAAAATAAATAGCAATGTCGTTTTACTTTTGATACTTTTAATTGTCTGATGTGTAGATGTTGTGTTGTGTAGAAGCAAGCAATGCTAACTTGCATCTGCTTTGCAACGATAGCATGTTTATTTCAACAGGCAGTATTGATCTGGTGGTCGCACAGATTCACGTCTGTCTGGAGCGACTATACCACACAGAATGATTTGGAAAAAAGCCTGCCTGAATTTACAAAAGATGCTACACATATATATGTATATAGATATAGAAGTATTGATTTTGAGGCGGGGAATGAACATCGCAATAACAAAAATCACAGGAATATCATTCTAAATCACTACAACAGCCTGACACACTGGTGATTTTTAACAAGGCGTTTTATCTACAGACGAAAATATTTCTGGTGGATATCGCTAGAGCTAGATTAAACTGGTTACCTACAGAGTTGGCAGGAATTGGTCTTTATACGTAAAGCCGTCAGCAATTTGACGTAGATTGATATCGAGATCCTAAAAGAAACATTCAATTGTTAAGATGTCAAAAACTAATCGCAGCCGAGCAAATCATAACTGCTGGTCATATCAAGGAAACTGCGTGGTGGAAGACGTTTCTGGGGGTGGCACAGTATTGATCCTCTTGGACAGAGCTGGGAAGACAGCGGAAATCGAAAATAGACAAAAAAGTAATACGTTTGCTTGAAACATCTAATCGGTGGTATGCCCCCAGCATTATCTGTAGTCACGATAGCTATGATTCTGACGCATCATAGTAATTTAGTGGATATCTTTTAGTGATACATATTAGGGCTACACAATATAGCTAATGTTTTCAAATATTAAACAAATGGAAATCGAAATATCTATTTTGGCATTATTTCACTTATCAAAATCAACCTCAGAATGGAATTACTTCTAAACCCTACTAAGCTAATAAAAGCTATCAACAATAATCTGCATTAACTCATATACTGTCATTACATTTTGAAGTACCTTTGTGATGAGTTTCGATTCATCGCAAAAGTAAAAAAAGGTATATCGGAAACGCTGCCGAGAAACATTAAAGAATGATAGGATTAGATGAATGTTTAAATCATTTATCTTTTTATTATATTTCACCAACGGGTTACTTACTGATAGAGTAGTATGTACGAACAAAATACCGGTACATGACAATTACGAAAGATGTTTTAATATGGCGAAAGTGCTCGCGTACAAGGTTTTAAAATTTGGGCCCTTGGGATCATTGGCTAGTCCTAACAACAGCTGTATGAAGCTGTTTAATCCGTCGTTTGATTAACTGTGTCTAATTCTGCATTCTGAATTTCTGCAAATTCTTTGAAGGGCTTCTTTGTTATAGAGCATATTTTCCCGAATTTTATGGTACTGGAAAAGAATGCCTACATATTGAAATAACAAAATTGATTTGACCAAATCTGTTAATATCACCAAGTCATGTTAGCTGAAATTGAAGCACAGGCGGTACATTGATGTGAAAGGAATCCAAGAACTCTATGTTGTAGGAGAATTAATCCCTTTGATCCCTTTCCATTTTCAATTTCTATCTAGACATCGGTGGTCTTGGTATAATGAGATTGCGTTGTTGACTATTCCGCCAATGTGCTGTTCGATAATGATTCGGGATGTGTGTGTGAGTGTGTTTGTGAGGGTGTGAGTGTGTTTCACTTAAAAAAACCTCATCAAGGCCAAAGCATTTCTCCAAGTGTTTCTCTAACTCTTTTAATGTAAACGTTCAATGATTTTCCGGAATTAATTGCCATTAGTCATCAGGGCAGGAAAACCCTGATGACTGCATTTACTTCTACTTTTCTATAAATATATCGCATTGGCAGCGCCAAGAAACGTGCAAAGCATAACTTCATTTGGCATATCTGCTGATTGAACTGTATGTCCTTGGTTTTGTAAACTAGTGAGCTTTAGGTAGTCTAGAAGGACGCACACGTGAGTAATGAAGATTGTATGCCAGCTTTATGAGCTAAGG